CCCTTGCCCACACCCCCCTGCCCACATCTCTCTGCCCACACCCCCTGCCCACACCCCCACATCACACCAACCTCTCCTTCTGTCATTGTATCTCCTGCATCTGACTCTGACCTTCCTGCCTTCCTCTTAAAGCATCCTTATGATTATATTTGGTTCACCTTGATAACCCTGGAATATCTCCCCATCTCAGGGTCTTAAAGTTAAATCTCATCTGCAAAATCCCCTTTTGCCATTTAAGGTAACATATTCACAGTTCCAGGGATTAAGATGTGGTTATTCTTGAGGGCCATTGTTCTGTCTACCACAGATAATGATTTCCACTTCACAGAAATCTAATAGGAATTTTTAAAAGATACATATTCTTGTCATATGCCTTTATGGACTTTAGAACATTTCCTATATAATAGAAATTAGAGACCACTTCGAGATGAGATTCTACTTAATACACTTTGGATTTTATACAGTAAAACTTTATATTTCCTTTACATAAATTTCTACATATAATATTGGAAAAGCCTAGAAAGTACTACGGGTAATATACCGCTTCTTTTTTGAAGAAACTCTTTACTAATTTTTTGTCAAGTCTTTATCACTATCTTACAAAGTGAGTATTTTAGGTATATATCATTATACTTCATGAATTTTTTAAAAGCACGAGAAAAAGTGACTACATATAAGGCCACACAGCAAATCAGAGAATAGGCACAGCTAGTGGTTAGAGTTTCCAGTTGGAAATTTGGATTCATTATCTTTTCTGCCTGACAACTGTATGTCCATATATGAAGACTGTTACCAAGTCTTGGAAAGATTAAAGCATGTTTGAATAGCTCCACAGCCCCAGCTTCACAAAAACTAAAAAGTAACAAAGAAGTTCCATGAGGTTTTAGTCTGTAGGAAGTAGGCAGCTTATATGGTTACTGGAACTTATCTGCTATCTTGCTCAATTATGCTGTCAAAGGTGCTATTATTTCCTGTGTTTAAACTTTTCCATAAAGTTATTCAGAGGCCTTATGCCACCCACTCCCATGGCATGTGCTGTCGGACAGCTAGAGCTCTTCTTAACCAAGCAATGAAAATGGCAATTACCAAAAATCAAGTATTGCCAAAAGGGTAAGTCATTTCATAAAATCAGAAACTGAAACTTTTAAATCTGCATATGGTAGCTTAATGTATTATATTAATTTTTAACTTTTAGAATATCATTAAAAAAATTATTCTCCAGTTTGTAAGTGTACCAAGCCCAAAAAATGACTTTTAAAATTAAAAATAATTGAAAAAACATTTAAATAATATAAGAACCAAGTGACTACTGTGGCAGGAGGTGGGAGAGCAGAGGCATCTGCACAACTGAGAGGAGATGTGGAGGGACGGCAACTCCTGACTGGGAAAAGGGCTTCAAAACCCAACAATGGTCTGAAGCACTGACATAGCTGTGCCACTTGGTTTGTCTGAAATCCAAAAAGAAACTCATATACACACTGCTAGTCAACTTTTTTTTTTTTTAGACAGAGTCTCACTCTGTTGCCCGGGCTAGAGTGAGTGCCGTGGTGTCAGCCTCGCTCACAGCAACCTCAAACTCCTGGGCGCAAGCAATCCTCCTGCCTCAGCCTCCCAAGTAGCTGGGACTACAGGCATGCGCCACCATGCCTGGCTAATTTTTTCTATATATTTTCAGTTGGCCAATTAATTTCTTTTTTAAGTAGAGACGGAGGTCTCACTCTTGCTCAGGTTGGTTTCGAACTCCTGACCTTGAGCGATCCACCCGCCTCAGCCTCCCAAAGTGCTGGATTACAGGCGTGAGCCACCATGCCCAGCCTGAACCACATTTTCTGAACATTTACTATATGCCAGGCACCATTAACACTTTACATAAATTATCTCATTTAATTGTCACAATAATGCTGAGAAGCAGCTACTAGTATTATTTTCATTTCACAGATGGAGAAACTGAAGCTTAGCACGATTGCCAAAGGCCACGGTTAATAAGAGCTGAGAATCCTGGCACTCTGTCTTCAGACTCTACAGCTTTCACACTTTGTGACACAACCTCCCTGAGCTGATGGCTGAGGGATGGATGGGTGGACGGGTTATTCAAGGGAAGGTAGACTTGGAGGGAAAGTCTCCCAAGGCTTCCTATATGTGTTTTCTCTCTACCACTCAGCATCTGTCTATCTGAACACATAATAATTTATCCAAATAGCAACTGTCTAGCACTCTCGGAGGTGGATGTGGGAGGATCTATCGAGCTCAGGAGTTCAAGATCAGCCTAAGCAAGAGAGGGACCCTGTCTCTACTAAAAATAGAAAAATTAGCCGGGCACGATGGCTCATGCCTGTAGTCCCAGCTACTCAGGCAGCTGAGATGGAAGGATCACTTGAACCCAGGGGTTTGAGGTTGCTGTGAGCTAGGCTGACACCACGGCACTCTAGCCTGGGGAACAGAGTGAGACTCTGTCTCTAAAAAGAAAATCCTAAAAAACCAAATAGCAACTGTTTTTCTTCTCCCATTTCAGCCTTTACACAGGAAAACCCTCTAAAGAGCTGCCTGCCAGCTGCCCTTCCCCAGATCCCAAATTTATTCCCAGCCAGGTAGAGCAGAGAACACTCACTCAGCTGGTGATGCTGAGCTCATACCCTGTAAATGTGACCACACTACACAGATCTGAATTTAGCTAGACACCAGCCCCAGTCACATTCATGTCTGTCCCTAATCCCACGAGAGATGAAGGATCCATTCCGGGAGTATACTTGCTAGGACTAAGAGTAGGATAAGTACAGCTTTTGTGATTCTCTCTCCCTGCCCCTTGTAGGACGGTTCTTTCTGGAGGTCAAGACTGGGTCTCCTCCCTCCTCCCACTTTACCAATGCCTGATCTCACAGGATTAATTCTGAGCACAACACCATGGCATCATCGACCTCCCTCCCAGCTCCTCGCTCCCAATCCAAGAAGCCTCTGGGTAAGATGACCGGTGAGTGGAACCAGACTCCTAGTTCTGCTCTTGTTCCTGAGAGCGTTGTCCTCATCGCTGTGTGGCGAGGAGGGGCCTGCCTGTGCGAACACGGCGCAGATGTCGGGAGGCTGAGAGGGGTGAAGCTCCTGAGTGGATGGCCATGCTCGATGCTTTGTGGAGCAGGAAGAGGGGAGGCCTGCATCAGTCCAGTCTTCATCCTTGTGGCCCAAAGGTTTTCCAGGCCTGCTCAACTAATTTTCCTAGCCTAGAAACCACTGTGCTGAGTGCTTATTTAGATCTTTGTTCCAGAACCATTCAGAGGAAGGAGCTAAGCAGAGAGAGAAACTGTTAATTCTCACAACACTTAATTATCTGTCAAAAGCTGGGGAAGCTGAGTTTTAATATCATTATGGGACACTCACAATATCCCAGACACTACATTATCTCAGTTAACCTTCAACAACAACTAAAATGAACCCATTTTGCAGATGAGGAGATGGAGCCATAGACTAACTTGCACACGGTCACACGGAAGGCTAGTGACAGATCCACAGTCAAATATGGTGCCTACCTCCAAAGTGCGGCTTCCAGACACCAAAGTTCTGTGCTCATCGGGAGCTCTGAGCAGGAGCCCTCCTCCCTACTTTCTTGTAGCTTGTGTAGTGACAATCTAGGGTTTCTCAGGCCCAAACCGATGTCAGTCCTCCCACCCTTCCCTTTCTATAATGGGTATGTCTTCCTAATTTAAATTCACCTCCCCTCATTGCTTGAAGTGGGCCTTGGGACTAGTTGATCCTTACTAGCATAGCAAAGCTCTGCTTACAGACTCACAGGGGGCTGACTCGTCGGCTCTGGTGGAAAGTTCTGCTTGGGGTGGGCTGAGGGTAGCAGATACCAAAGGGCCTGGAGCAGGGGAGGGCCTTCTCTTAATCAGGATGGTAAAATACTCCCACATTGGGTCCCAGAGTTCTTACGTACTCCCCAAACCTTAAAAGATCGAGGGAAATTTTGCTCAAGTCCTTGAAGATGTACAAAAATAGCAGAGTGATAGGTGACTGAGAATAAGAAGGTATTGTTTCACAGAGTAAGGAGACAGGCAGAATCCTGCCAGTCCTCCCGGCTCAGCGGGGCTCCTCCCCAGGGGCCAGTGGGAAGGCACCAGGTGAGACACGGGCCTGAGTGGTATGTTCTTCCCTGCAGACTGGCTCAGGCAGGCCCTGCTGAAGCAGCCCAAGAAGATGCCTGACTCTGCTGAAAGCTCCCCCACTGACACTTTGCAACCCACCTCACAGGACAGCCCCCCACCACTGGGCCTCAGTTCTGTCACATCTCCCAGCACGCCTCTGACACTTGTGGGTGACAGCAGCAGTGGCCGCTGGAGCAAAGACTATGATGTTTGCGTGTGCCACAGTGAGGAGGACCTGGTGGCTGCCCAGGAACTGGTCTCCTACCTGGAGGGCAGCACTGCCAGCCTGCGTTGCTTCCTGCAGCTTCGGGATGCAACGCCAGGCAGTGCCATTGCGTCCGAGCTGTGCCAGGCACTGAGCAGTAGTCACTGTCGTGTGCTGCTCATCACGCCAGGCTTCCTTCAGGACCCCTGGTGCAAGTACCAGATGCTACAGGCCCTGACTGAGGCTCCTGGGGCAGAGGGCCGCACCATCCCCCTGCTGTCGGGCCTGAGCAGAGCTGCCTATCCTCCTGAGCTCCGATTCATGTACTACGTGGATGGCAGGGGCCCCGCCGGTGGCTTTCACCAAGTCAAGGAAGCTGTCATGCGTTGTAAGCTATGGGAGGGAGGGAGGGAGAAGAGGAAGGGGGTTCAGCCATAGCTTCTGATCTATCTCAGCTTTAGGAGACAGCCCTGAAGCCACAGCAAACTAGTTGAAAGTGCAGGCCCCAGGAAAGACTGGCACATTTGCATCCTGACTCCTTCACTTATTAGCGTGTAAACAGTCACTTGGCAGATTACTGAACCCCTCTGTGCTTTGGTTTCCTCATGGCCCCTCAGGTTTCCATTACTATACAATGAAAGTAGTATATACACTAGATAAGTGCTCAGAATGTGGCCTGGCACACGGTAGGTATTTGTACCAGGCAGGGCTTAGGTGCATATCAAGTTCTCAGTCATAATTACTAGCTAGTAGCAGCAGTAATAGCATTAGTTTTTTCTCACTGAGATCAGGTTGGAGATGTCCACCAAGAGCTGGGAAGATGCCAGGAGGGACATTCGTTTAGTAAGGAAAAATGGTATGAAGTAATATGAAAGAATTACATATGATAAGCATATCTGGGGTTGGACATTATATTACAGTAGGTTTGGAAGTCAGGTAACAGATAAAAAGGTAGCAGAGGCAGGACCTGTTGGGGACAAACAGATGCTGGGTTTGGTGAGGGTGACAGCCCTGTGATTCTGTTTGGGCTCTTTCAGATCTGCAGACACTCAGTTGACACTTCTTGTGTCATCACGGGACCCAGAAAGTTGGAAGAAAGCTGGAAATATAGGCCCATGCAGGGCCCTGGGTTCCAGGAGTCTGACAGGTGTAAGGAGTCTGGACGTGTCCGTCAGGCTCCCATTACTGTGAGCTCCTCGGGAAGGCTGTGGGGATGTCAGGGACTCCCCCAGGAAAGCCATGAAGAAGCTGGGGACTCCCCAGGAAGGCCATGAAAAAGCTGGGGACTCCCCAGGAAGCCCAAGAGGAAGCCAGAAGTTGAAGGTGGGGTTGCTACCAGGATGGCCAGCAGCGTTTTGCCTCTTGCCTAATTGGACAGGAAGACTGGCATGCACCTATGTTTTCTTGCCCTAAAATTGGGCACTAGTATACACAGGTGTCCCTTCTACCTAGGTGACTCACCTGACTAATAAACAAGCAGCCTGGACTGCAGGCCTCAACATGGACGGCTCTCCCGGCTGCCTGGGGAAGCCCTGAACAGGCGCCAGGAGAAGGCAGCAGGCACCGAGTCCTTCACACCCCCACTGCTGCCGCCCCTTCCCGGGGCGCCCATCTGCCTCACACCGCTGCATGAAAGATGCACTCAGCACTGCTAGTGTTTTATTTATTGCATAAGTGTCACTAAAGACACAACCTAGAATCCATTCTGTATATACAAGGATGGGGAGGGAGCAGGTGGGGTTGAGAGAAGGGAAGCCAGGGCACAGGGCCCAGCCCCTTCACTAGGGACCCAAAGCCTACCGAGCTGTGACACCTGGGGCATGACCAGGGCTGGCAAGAGCTGAGGCTTCCACAGGAGCAGCAGTGCTCACCTTCAGACAGCAGCAGTCAGCAGGGATCAGCATCTTCCTGCTGGCGGGTGACTGTTCCTTAGAGGACAGGCAAGGCCTCACTGGTCTGTTCTCAGTGAGTTTGCTGTTGAACTGCAATGAATTTCACTACCTCCCCCGAGGTGTATTTTTATGCCTCTTCTCTCAGTTCCCCCATCATGTCCTCTTTCACTGAAAAAAAAATTTTTTTTAATTGAGTTATTTTATTACAGACAAAAGAACTAAAGAATACCATAATGTACTCTTAACATTTGTACTCTGCAGATCCCTTTCTTTGTTCACCATGTTTGTGAGATTCATCCAGGGCGGTGCATGACACTCCAGTTAATTTACTTTCATGCCATTATGTAAATATGCCACTATTTAATCACACATTCTTCTACAAATGGTTATTTGGTTGTTTCTAGTTTTTTACCGTTAAAAGCAGTGTGCCTATGACCATTTTTGTGCATGTTTCCCTGAGTAAAATTTTCCAAGATTTAGTCTAGATGGGAACAGCTGGGTCATAAAGAATATACATACATCTTCAGTTTTACTAGAAGATGCCAAAGTTTCCTCCACATTAGTTGTGTCAATTTATGTTCCTACCATTTGTGTTTAGAGTTCCCACTTCTTCATTTTCTTGATAACACTTAGAATTATGAGATTTTAAAATGTTCACTAACCAAGTGGGTGAAACTGCTATCTTATGGTCATATTTTTTCATTATTTTATGAAAAACTGTGCGTGTGTGTATTCATATTCTAAAAGGAAAAAGTTTGATAAATCTCTGGTATACCCATCACCCAGCTTCAAGAATTACCAACTCGGCCAGGTGTGGTGGCTCACACCTGTAATCCTAGTACTCTGGGAGGCTGCGGTGGGAGGATTGCTCAGGGTCAGGAGATCAAAACCAGGCTGAGCAAGAGCAAGACCCCCGTCTCTACTAAAAATAGAAAGCAATTAATTGGTCAACTAAAAATATATAGAAAAAATTAGCCGGGCATGGTGGCGCATGCCTGTAGTCTCAGCTACCCAGAAGGCTGAGGCAGGAGGATCACTTGAGCCCAGGGGTTTGAGGTTGCTGTGAGCTGGGCTGACACCATGGCACTCTAGCCCAGAAAATAGAATGAGACTCTGTCTCAAAAAAACAAAAAAAAATAAGAATTACCAACTCATAGCTAATCTTTTATCAACAATAACCCCACCCATTCCCTCACTCCCAGATCATTTTGAAGCAAATCCAAGGCATTATTTTATTCCTATTTAAGTATACAATTCTAAATTATTAGAAGTTTCTAAAGAGTATGATACTGTTATCTTTTTCTTTTTTTTGAAGGGGTGGGGGGCTGCCAGGAGGGGTGTTCAGTTACCTTATTTATTTTTGTTGAGAGTGTATCACTCTGTCACCCTGGGTAGAGTGTAGTGGCATCATTAGCTCACTGCCACCTCCATCTCCTGAGCAATAAGTGATCATTCTGCCTCAGCTTCCTGGGTAGCTGGGACGACAGGCGTGTGCTGCAATGCCCGGGTGGGTTTCTTTTTTTTTTTTTCTTTTTCCTTTCTTCTTTGTAGATACAGGGCCTCAGTCTTGCTCAGGCTAGTCTGGAACTCCTGAGCTTAAGCCATCCTCCCAGAGTGCTAGGATTATAGGCGTGAGCCACCATGCCCAGCTGACAATGTTATCTTTTAAAGAAGGTTTTTTTTGGAGACAGGGTCTCGCTCTGTTGCCCAGGCTGCAGTGCAGTGGCATCATCATAGTTCACTATAGTCTCGAATTCCTGGGCTCAAGCCATCCACCTGCCTCAGCTTGCCGAGTAGCTATAACTACAGGCATGTGCCACCACACCTGGATGATTTATTTTATTTTATTTTTTCATAGTTGGGGTCTCACTATGTTGCTCAGGCTGCTCTTGAACTCTGGACCTCAAGCTATCCTCCCACCTTGGCCTCCCAAAGTGCTAGGATTATAGGTGTGAGCCACCATGTCTGGCTAGTTTTTCATTTTAATATAAAATATTTTAGCTATCACTTTGTGTCTGTGCCCTTTGTATCTTACTCAAGAAGTCCTTTCCCTATTCCTATATTTTCTTCTGGAAGCATTTCTTTTCATATTTAAGTCTTTAATTACCTGGACTTTTTGTTTGGGCTTGGTTTTATTCTTAGTTTTTATGTCAGAGATCCAATTTTTTTTCCCATTTGAATAACTGTCATTTTCTGACTATTCTTTCCCCACCGATTGTGATGTCACTGCTGTCACATACTGCCATATTTGGGGGCTATTACTGGGTTCTTCATTCTTCTCCCTTAGTCTGTTTGTGTGTCCTTGTGTTGGTGCCACACCGGCTTACTCACTGCTGTTTTTAATACCCCTTGACAGCTTGTCAGCTTGTCAGTCAGTTCTTCCCACTCTTCTTATTTACCCTAATCACTTTAACTTCTTTTTTTTGTTTGTGTGTGTGTGTGTGTGTGTTTTTGTTTGTTTTTTTTTTGAGACAGTCTCGCTTTGTTGCCCAGGCTAGAGTGAGTGCTGTGGCATCAGCCTAGCTCACAGCAACCTCAATCTCCTAGGCTCAAGCGATCCTGCTGCCTCAGCCTCCCGCACTTTAACTTCTTATTCCTTTACTTTTCCATATAAATTGTTTATTCAGTTTGTCAGATTCCAGAGAAAAGCCTGTATCTTTTTTTGGCATTAGGTTGAATTTATAGATTTAGTTGGAATACATGTTTTTATGATAGTCTTCCTATTCATAAAAATAGTATGTGTTCATTTGTTTATATCTTTAAATGTATGTCAATAAAGCTTTATATATTTTCCATATTGGTCATTCTCATCTTTTACTAGATTCATTCCTTTGCATTTCATCTTTTCTGTTGCTACAGTAAAAGTTTTTTGTTTTTTGTTGTTGAGATAGAGTCTTGCTCTGTTGCCCGAGCTAGAGTGCTGTGGCGTCCCTCAGACTAACTCACAGCAACCTCAAACTCCTGGGCTCAAGCAATCCTCCTGCCTCAGCCTCCCAAGTAGCTGGGACTACAGGCAGGTGCCACCATGCCCAGCTAATTTTTTTCTATTTTTGTAGAGACAGGGTCTTGCTTTTCCTCAGGATGGTCTTGAACTCCTGGCCTCAAGCAGTCTTCCCGCCTCAGCCTCCCAAAGTGCTAGGATTATAGGCATGAACCACTGTGCCCAGCCTGAAAGATATTTTTAAATTATTTATTTTTTATCTATTACTAGTATAAAGGATTGTAATTTATTTCCATATTGATTTACTATTAAACAATATGCTCATTTATTCTATAAGACTATAGATTCTGTTGGATTTTCTATAAACAGTCATACAATTTGAAAAACAAAACTTGAGTACCTTGTCTTCCTGTGCTTCCTAAGACCTCCAGTAAAATGGTGAAAGAAGTGACAGCAGCAGCCATCCTTGTCGCATTCCTTATTTTAAAGGGAATGTGTCAAACATTTCACCATTAAATGTGTTTGTTATAGGTGTTTTGGCACATTAGTTTTGACAGGTTAGAAGTTTCCTGCTGTTTCTAGTTGGCTAAGAGTTTGTTATCTTGAATGGGTTTTAAATTTAAATTTTCTGCATCATCTACTGAAATGATGTATTTTTTCCCCTTTAAACTGTTAATGTGGTGAATAACATTAGATTTTCTAATGTTAAGCCAGCTTTATACTCCTGGTGTAAACTCAACTTGACCATGATGTATTACCTTCTTTATAAGTCACAGGTTTCCAGTTTGCTAACACTTTCTTTAGGATTTTTACATCCATGTGCATACATAGGATTGGCCCTTAATTGTCCTTTCTTGTATTATCCCTTTCTTGTTGTGTTACCAAAGTTATACCAGCTTTATAAAACAGTTGGGGAGTGGTCCTTTTTTTCCTATTCTTTGAAGAATTTAAGCTTAGAATTAATTTTTCCTTGAATATTTGGTAGATTCATCTGTAAAACCACTTGAGCCTAGCATTCTCTTTACTGTAAAATTTAAAACTACAATTTCAATGTTTTAAAGAGTTACATATCTAGTCAGATTTTCCATTTCTTCTGCCATCAATTTGATATAAAGTAAACAATCAGTAAAGACTACAAGACCATAGCCAGGTGTGGTATGCTTATAATCTCAATGCTTTGGGAGGCTGAGGCAGAAGCAGGAGGATCACTTAAGCCCAGGAGTTCCAGGCCAGCCTGGGTAATATAGCAAGACCCTATCTCTACAAAGAAATAAGAAAAGTTAGCTAGGTGTGGTGGTGCGCACCTGTAGTCCCAGCTATTGAAGAAGCTGAGGCAGGAGGATTGCCCGAGCCCAGGAGTTCAAGCCTGCCATGAGCTATAATCACACACTCTAGCCTGGGTGACCAAGCAAGACCATGTCTCAAAATAAAAATAAAAAAAAAAAAGACTACAAGACCAGTTTAAATAGATTTTTTAGTTTGAGTTCCTGAATGATGTATGCAGTTACAAATCTGAAGTCTACATGAACATTCACATGTGGTTATGAATTATTAAGATATTTTTCTTCCCTCTGGAGCAAAGGTTGAGGCAGGTAAGTTTCCTAATCATGTTTCCTCCTTTAGTGGGGTAGCTTTTTTTTTTTTTTTAAATAGTTGGACCTTTCATTGAGGTGGTGGACCTTCAGCAACTTTAGCTCTATGGGAAGTTCTCTATTCCAGCTCATCCTTGCATAAGCCCAGGTCTTATCTCCTGTGCTTTCTGTCATGTGCTAGATTTCCAGAGATCAGCATAGCCCTTAGTATAACTTTTCAGTTTCAAAATCCACTTACCACTCTGTAGATTCAAGCTCTTCCACGTCATTTTTGGTTTCTGAAAATTTTTATTTTCTTGAGAGCTCAGCAATGGAACTAAAAAGATGTTTTACAATTTGCATCCAGATTGTTTAGGTATTTTGTAGCTGACTTGTTTTCAGTTTAGTCTGTCATAATGCCTGTAATAGAGTATCTAGTCCTTTAGACTAAAAGAAAAGATTTGGGAGAAATTTTGAGACTCCTCAAGACTAAAGGATCGAATGCTTATAGAATAGGGCTTTATAATAAATAATTGAATATAGCATTGTCCAGTAGAACTTTCTGTAA